CAGTTACTTCGGATGTCTTGACCAGAGAAGAGCCATAAAGTTGATGAAATTGAGCTTACCTTTCGTGAGACCACCTAAGACATTTTAGAGTTTATGAGTGGTACAGAAACTGATCTGGTTTAAATATTCCTGTGTAAACTTATTTTATTTTGGTGGTCACTTTCATCAGAAGAGTACGGTCGATTCTAGTTGTACTGCAGACGTTTAGCTCTGATACAACATTCCGGTTCACGTGGTTCACGGGCTGAGATTTCGTTTGTCGTATGAAAAGCTTCATCATAGCTGAGACTCATTTTTGCAAAAGTCTTAATTTGGCACAAAGTCAGGAACGTAATTAGGAGGACCCAGATAGTGTGACTTTCTGTTTGGTCGCAGCAACAGACCAATGATTTGGTATATTCCAGATTTGTCACTTTGATAAGTTGTAACTCTGTGCTGAAGATGGCACCTCTCAATGACGATGGCGGCTACTATGCCGACAAAACCTCTTGGAATGCTGAAAATAACGACTGGAATGACAGAGGTCGCAGGGCTAGGTACATTACTCAAGGTCTTCCTGACGCTACAACAAAGATTTACTTAAGAAGACTGACCGGCTCTATCATACGTGTTATATATACTCATAATAAAAAAATAATTTGATATAAATGGATGTGGTAAAACTAGCTGGTTAAATGTCTCTCTATCTTAAGTGAAATCTTTTAACATCACCTCTTTCTCACAATTAATCACGTCGAGATGGATACAACTGAGCAGGATGCGTTTCGATAATTCCTCAATTCAAAAATGATAAAAAGAAGGCCTCCCTACCTACGAATTCGACTGTACTCATTCTACTTTAGTGGTTGTACAGGTGTCAAGAAGAACATTAATTTGTCTGGAAAGACTTACTTCTTTGAGCCCCATTTCGCCTGAGGAATATTTTACTTTAAATTGAAAATTTATAAAAAGATGTTTATCTATCGGTCGGTGTCATCGAAATCTAAGTGAACACTGATTTTTGACCCCTATGCATTTGTATAAATATCGCTTTAGCCCTTGAGACATCGTCCTTATTTTATGGTGGTTCCATGCAGAATTTTCCTGTCTTGTCATGGGCCTATTCGTAACAAAAAGCTCTCAGTACATTTAGGCAAGGGGACGGAAAAATTAACTAAACTTTCTTTAATCAATGCTTTTGTGGAGTCGCATCTGGCCTATTTCCTAGCCTTGATTGCTTTTGCTGCATAAGAAACAAAAGACCAACATATCTTTTCCAAGGACAAAGAATGGTATCTCAAGGAATATGACGATATTAGCATATAAATTTCATTTGCGTCTGGTAAATAATGAGGTCTGACGGCAAATATCCTCACCGACCGGTTTCGAGCGAATTCAAATTGACCTTTAAAAGAATAATTAGTATTCTGTAACTCTGCAGAATAGCAGTATCACTAGGAGGCTCATAAAGATAATTTAATGAAGCAAATATTTCTTCCAACATCTCTCCTTTTAGTTCATTCTTTTCAGCTAGAATTACAAATAGTTAAAATATCCCATCTATAAATTCTGTGAATATTATTTAAAATTATTTAATAATGATTCTATTCATTTAAACTCCTCTGCTGATAATCTTAAGTAAGAAAAGTATAATTATAATACTTGTGGAAATAACTCCGAAGACGCCAATATTACAGATTTGTAGTGTCATTACTTTCCCAATATGTATGATACATTTAAAATTTTAGCCTCATTAAAAATACTCAGATATTTCAAATCGTAATTTTACGATTGACTGATTGTAGTGATTATTTTAATTTTCTATATCTCACGATCAGAGTAGCAGATCTAGTATCTTTAAATGTGAATCTAAGCCGAAAGATTACTGAGGACATTTGGTTTCGCAGTCTTAGACTGTTTACCGCATAGCACCGAGAATTAGCTCCCGTATTACGTTTTTAATCGCCTTCATCGCCTTAATTGCTATCATCACTTCTATGATTGAACATCCCTTACGTTTTCGCCACTACCCACACAATTTTGGTAGGAAAGGCCTCACGTCAACTCTTACGTGGTGCTAAAGCTTAGTTTATTTGCATGGTTTAGCAAAGCGAATATTTAATTATTCGGTCCACTAGTTAATAAAATAGTCAGGCTGAAGCTATGACAAAAAAGTTTGGACTTTCATATTTGAAATAATTATGCATAACTTAGATATAACCATAAATTACCAGAGCTATCTATTTATATTTATCTATATATGGATATATATATATATATATATATAGTGCTCGCTAATATTAATTTGCCATAACCGTCGCTTTTCTAGCGTGCATTTATTAATACATTTAAGTAATTATATGATGCCTCCGTAGGGGTGAAATAAGCAAAATTCTGGCAAATTAACATTAAGTTAAAAGTTTAAAAGCCCAAATATGAGATCTCTCTAGAATAAATGATTTTTACAGCCTTATTCTCGCAGATAAGTTGCCAGGATCATCATTGATAGGGTGAGATAAAATTTAATGAATGTAGAAACCTTAACTATAGCAGTTAGATAAGAATATTTTTAATTTAATT